AGCCCCCCAGTGGGCGGTGCTCACCTGCGGACACTGCTTCTGTAACGAGTGTATCTCCATCATGGTGGAGCAGTACAGCGTGGGCTCCAGACGCAGAGCCATCAGATGTGCAGTCTGCAGACAGATCACCTCTCACGCCGAGATCTCATACGTGTTCACCACCCAGGCCTCAGGACAGGACCAGGACATACCTGTACAGGTAGAGGAGGCTCGGGAACAGAAAGAGACACAGAGGACTACAAAGAGACACAGAGGACTACAAAGAGACACTAAAGGACTTCAAAGAGACTTCAAAGAGACACAACATGACTTCAAAGAGACAATAAATGACTTCAAAGAGACACTAAATGACTTCAAAGAGACTTCAAAGAGACACTAAAGGACTTCAAAGAGACACTAAATGACTTCAAAGAGACACTAAAGGACTTCAAAGAGACACTAAATGACTTCAAAGAGACACGAAATGACTTCAGAGAGACACTAAAGGACTTCAAAGAAACACTAAAGGACTTCAAAGAGAGAACAAACAACCAAAAAAAGTCAAGGAAATGCAAAAAGAATACTAAAACTAGTTCTGCACACGCCTGAAATCCCTTCACTGTTGATAGCGTGTACATTGACTGTCATCCCGCAGGAGAATCTGTGCTCCTTTAAATACGAGGAGCAGATCAACATCCTGCTGCTGCCTCTGCACACCGGCTCTAACGGTCTGAACATCATCGAGGCGACCCACGTTCTGCTGGTGGAGCCGATCCTCAACCCGGCCCACGAGCTGCAGGCCATCGGGAGGGTGCACCGCATCGGGCAGACCAAGTGAGTGCAGAAGGGAACAGGAGCTCTTCAGGAAGTTGAGAGCCTCATCTGGTGTGAGCACGCTGGCTAGGAGTCAATAGGAGGGAGGTTTGGGGGTTTTATGTGCAATCCTGTCAAATCAGACGCCAGTTCTTCGGTTTGTTTATCATAAAGCTGGTGTAAAATCACTATTATTTTGATATAAATCATGAGTTATACTAGAGAGACTCGCTATGTGTGTGTGCATTGACTAGTGGCACTCCTTTACTTGGTCAAAGTAATACTAAAGTAGTCAGTCATGAGTGTTATCTGTGCATTAGTACTTTGACACTTATTGACATGACTTCCATGTACATGTTGTGTGATTCAAGCTGTTGTTTTCTGTCCATCAGGCCAACGTTTGTCCACAGATTCCTCATTAAATCCACCATTGAAGAGAGGATGCAAGCGATGATGAAGACAGCAGAGAAAAGGTGAATAAAGTTACAAAATAAACCTCATTATTATCAAACTAGCTTCTCCTCACATGGGCTAACCAAAGACTTCATTTATACTGAAGGAAACTCTTGCAACCCAGTCTCACGGCATTTCGTGTAATAGCCACGAAATAAATTGTATCTATTGATTCGTGTTCACCGTCACAATTTTCCCATTTTTTTTGTGTCATACAGAACGATTTAAAAACCATTGTATTTCTATTGGTAGTGTGTTTCGTGCCTGCACCACATATTTTTGTCCGGTCGGGTCTTGGAAGACCGGAAGCTGTGTGGTTTATAAAAACATGTTCTTACTCAATAGCACTAGCTAACAACAGACTGGCTAACAACAGACTGGCTAAGAACAGACTAGCTAACAACAGACTAGCTAACAAACAGACTAGCTAACAGACTAGCTAACAGCAGACTAGCTAAAACAGACTAGCTAACAGACTAGCTAACAACAGACTAGCTAACAACAGACTAGCTAACAGACTATATAACAAACAGACTAGCTAACAACAGACTGGCTAACAACAGACTAGCTAACAACAGACTAGCTAACAACAGACTAGCTAAAAAACAGACTAGCTAACAAACAGACTAGCTAACAACAGACTAGCTAAAAACAGACTAGCTAACAACAGACTAGCTAAAAAACAGACTAGCTAACAGCTGACTAGCCTCTCCTCACAACAGCTTTTTAAACTTAAAATAAGTTTTAGGAAGCATCGGTTTTTGAGGACTTTGTAAACACATTTTGAATGTAATTGTAGTGATCAACAGCCATTGGTTTAGAGGCTTGTTGACATTAAAGGGTTGGACAGATGAATTAAATAACTGATCAAATCTTCCTCTCTTTTTAATCCAGTCACACCACCACCATGAAGCACTCGGAGGCCGCCGTGCTGACAGTGGCCGACCTGGCTGATCTGTTTACTGAAGAACATCTGGAGTCCATGTGAACACCTGGACACACACACACACACACACACACACACACACACACACACACACACACACACACACACACACACACACACACACACACACACACACACACACACACACACACACACACACACACACACACACACACACACACACAGAAGATACAGAAGATACACACACACCTGCAGAAGGAGGCGTGTGGCGCAGTGGACTAGTGCGTTGGTGTTGGGATCAGAGGGTCAGAGGTTCAAACCCCTCTGCAGTCAGCATGTCGTTGTGTCCCTGAGACACTCCCCCCCAAAGTGCTCCTGTGGGGATTGTCCACAGTGTTGAGTATGTGAGTGGCTTTGGATAAAAGCCTCTAACATGTAAACAGAAGATACACACACACTCTTCAAACAGTGCTGCTGATAGAAAACTCTGATTTTGCACATTTAAACTTTTTTATATAAACTTACATTCCCAAAGGACATGTTATCAGGTGAGGGACAGCAGGCTGCAACACGTGGTATTACATTTAATGTCTGAATGCCTTGTCTCACTTTTTGTCATCAGTTACTACGTCTGCTGTATGTTCGATGGTCACATTCAGACTACATTGTTTGCAGGAATGTTGATTGTTTTAGTCTTTTATGAAATATATGGATTTATACACAGGGGTTGAAACTAAATATAGGTTTAAATATCGATGAATTATTTTTTAGATTTGGTTTTTAAAATGTGGTAAAAGAGTGTAAATGTCCACGGTAATGTTGTTACACGTGTTTTTTAGTTACAATCCAAAAGATATTCACTTTAAAATGGTACAAAACGAGGGAAATCTCCATTTCTGACATTTGTGAAACTGACTTTCTGTGGCAGCTCCATCATGTACTAACCTCTCTGTGATTTAAAGTAGAAAACAGAGGGTTGAGATCTCCTCCGAGCATTCAGGAATAAACACATTGATGTTGTTCCGACAGCTGTTTTTGTCCCGTGCTTTTATTGGGTTTTATTTCAGGAAGGAAGCTGTTGACTTTTTACTCCCGTCTGTCCAACACAATCCAGCCCACGCCGTCTGATTTACACGACAAACAGCTCCAGATCCAGCGTCTCGGTAAATGATCTTGTAAATCCAGCGTATAAAAGTCACAGTTTGAATTGATATTCCCACGTACGTACAGAGTGCCCGGAGGAGGCTTTGGACACGTGGCTGTTCTGGGACGTTCTCTGTGTTTGAATGGGATTAAATCGTGTGTTTTTTCGTGGTGTTTAAAGTGTTTTACGGCCCCCGCTCCTCACACTCGCGGCCCTTTGCCCTTGACTCGTAATGACTCTCCTCTGGACGATTCCCGCTCCAGTAAAGATTTTAAAGTGTGCAGAACAAAGGCTGGAGACGACAAAGAGAGCTGTTGATGCTCTGCATGGTTACCAGACGCAGAGAGGGTCACTTTACACATGTAAGACATTACAATCACTAAAGAGAAGTAACTAAGTACATTTACTCAAGCACTGAACTTAATGACAAGTTTGAGGTACTTTGGTGAGTATTACCATGTCATGCTACTGTGTACTTCTACTCCACTACAGTTCAGAGGTACATGGTGTACTTCTACTGACTACAGTTCAGAGGTACATGGTGTACTTCTACTCACTACAGTTCAGAGGTACATGGTGTACTTCTACTCTCTACAGTTCAGAGGTACATGGTGTACTTCTACTCACTACAGTTCAGAGGTACATGGTGTACTTCTACTCACTACAGTTCAGAGGTACATGGTGTACTTCTACTCCACTACAGTTCAGAGGTACATGGTGTACTTCTACTCACTACAGTTCAGAGGTACATGGTGTACTTCTACTCACTACAGTTCAGAGGTACATGGTGTACTTCTACTCTCTACAGTTCAGAGGTACATGGTGTACTTCTACTCCTCTACAGTTCAGAGGTACATGGTGTACTTCTACTCTCTACAGTTCAGAGGTACATGGTGTACTTCTACTCACTACAGCTCAGAGGTACATGGTGTACTTCTACTCACTACAGTTCAGAGGTACATGGTGTACTTCTACTCACTACAGTTCAGAGGTACATGGTGTACTTCTACTCACTACAGTTCAGAGGTACATGGTGTACTTCTACTCCTCTACAGTTCAGAGGTACATGGTGTACTTCTACTCCACTACAGTTCAGAGGTACATGGTGTACTTCTACTCACTACAGCTCAGAGGTACGTGGTGTACTTCTACTCCTCTACAGTTCAGAGGTACATGGTGTACTTCTACTCCACTACAGTTCAGAGGTACATGGTGTACTTCTACTCCACTACAGTTCA